AAACTGTTGTAGTACTGCGCCTACCGCAACATTTGAAGCGTCTGTCATGATGCTAGTGGTGCTTCTAAATCAGGATGAGAGAGAAGAGTTTCAGAACTTAGAGCCAGCTTCAGTTTGCCAAAAGCAACGTGGGCCACTTGGGTCATGTGAAACACTTTGGCTCGTCCTTGCAATAAATCTGTCAGCGGTTGGGCTACTTCAGCACATTTAGGTATGAAACTTCGATAGAAGTTTATTAACCCCAGAAATCTTTGCAGCTTTCGAAACGAGTCTGGAACAGGATATTCTCAAATTGCATCTACTTCTTGCGGAACCGGTTTAACACCGTTGGCATTAACAATGTGACCCAAAGCTGTAGGGATTCCTTGCCAAATTCGCATTTTTGCGGATTGATTGTAATGCCATATTCACGCAGTCGTTCGAAAAGCGTCCTCAGATGTTGCAGATGCTCTGTTTCAGATGCGCTAGCTACTATTAAGTCATCTATATATGCACTGACAAAAGGTAATCCATGAAGTACGTGATCTATAAATCTTTGGAATGTTTGAGCAGCATTTGTCAAACCAAACGGCATACGAATAAATTCGAATAGTCCGAAGGGGTAGTGATGACCATCTTAGGAACACCATTGAGTTCCACGGGAATGTGGTAGTAAGCTCGCACGAGGTCAATCTTGGAAAAATATTTACTTTTGTCATAGAGTTCATAGAATTATGTATGTGAGGAATTGGATACTTATCAGGAACCGTAAGCTTATTCAGTGCCTGGTAATCACCGCAAGGTCGCATTTCCCCTGATGTTTTTTTAGGCACCATATGCATGGGTAATGACCATGGGCTATTGGAAGGGCGTATAACTCCCAACTTTAGAAGTTTATCCAGTTCCTGTTTTGCTATCTGCAGCTTCCCAGGGTCTAAGCGTCTAGGTTTTGGTGAGACTGGAGGACCTTTTGTATGAATATGGTGGGTCACCGTGTTTTGGAGAGGACTTCGTGTAATCCATTAGAGTGAGCTCGAGAAATTCTAGCAGAAGGATATGGTACTCGGAAGTGCTGTTTATTGGGACTACGACTAGGTTTATTGTTTTTGTCTCCGTAACGATACCCGTGATAAAAAATTTACCATTACGGCTAACTAGTCTATGGTGACTAGAGTCGACCAATAGTTCGTAGTGTTGAACGAAATCCATGCCAATGATAGGCGACGATATGTCAGAGATGACGAATTCCCACTGGAATGGTGTGTGAAAACCAATGTCTGCCTCTTGTAGTACCAAGTAGGGTTGGGATGGCGTTTTTCGGAAGGTGTGGGTGGGGTCACGCTCACTTCGGCTCCAGTGTCAACCAGAAACTGCCCTCCGGTCTTCCTATCCGTCACCCAAAACAAACGACTGCGACGGCAGTCGTCACTGATCGCCGGCCTTTCCGTTTCCCGATGAAGAGGTTTTAAAATCGCATAGTAACAAACAACGACGTGCTTTACTGTCAAACTTCTTGTGATACCAGCACGTGCTACTTTTAGACGCAATCCTACTCGTGGTCTTATCACGACTATGGGATCTGCTTCTATAGAACTTCGGTGACCGTCGGTTCAACTGCAAAGCGGTCAGTTGTCCTGTAAGTATATCGTTCCTCCTCCCTAAAGTGGCTACTCGGTCGTTTTGTGCTGGCTCAGCAATACTTTCAACCTGTGAAAGCATCCTTTCGTACATACGGCCAGCGATGTCAACCAACCTGTCAATGTCCGCATCTCCGACAGCTAATATCTGCTGAATGCATGAAGGAAGTCTCCGCAGTCAGAGATAGTAGAATAAACGGTTGTCTATGTTCCTATCTTTCAGCAGACTTTGCATATGTCGCTTAAGTTGTGAATTGTCCTGTCACTGAGGCATACGCTACTTAGTTTGCTTTATTTTTCTCTTGTTGTCACGTGCTGTGTTTACAAGTTTCTTTGTAGGGGTAGCCTATCTGGTTTACTTTGAATGCCTTTTAAGACTTTTGCTTTGTCAGTTGTTGGAATCACCGAAGATGCTTATGTCTTATTCATTTCATTAGAATGGAGAAGAAAAATGGACCTAGGCTTTTTGTTTATAAATACTATCTCCGACAAGTTGTCAACTAGGCCATGTTTCACTTACTGCCACTTTGTTTTCTGTCTTAGAGTTTAGATTGGAACGTACTCACTAACCTTGTGCACTTTCATGCAGTAGGTATTAAGCCACATTCATTGTGTGAGAACCAGTGATGCTGCATGGTTGCCTGAACGTCTT